TTTGTATCTGAAAAATATTGCAATTGTAATATATCGTAACAGTTTTGGAGAGGAATTTGAGAATTTGTTAATGAAAAACGCAAAAATTTATATTTCATAGATGGAAATTTGTATTGTATTTGTAATTTTTCGATATAATCGTTTGACGAAAATGTAGATTTTGACGGCGTTTGATGGTTGAGCAACGTTCAATTTTATGTTTTTTGTTGAAGATGATTTTGAGAAGCGATAATTCTTTCGTGTTGATGTGTCCGGCATTTCATGTAAAATCGAGGAAATCGCTTTCAAATTGAATTTGAATGGCATTGCGTGTTTTTTGAGTGAAATTCATTGGAATGTTGGGGTGATTTGTTAAGTGAGTGGATGATCAATAGGATTACCTTATCTTGCGATTACCTTGCGGCATATCTGTCTCATCAATAGGATTATAGAGTAAGATTGCTTAATTTGCATGCTAAGGTAGGTCTCTGCCGCCTTTTATAATATTAATGAACAAGATCATGTTATAGTGTTCAGGTAAGACGACTGCTTAAAATTGAATTGAAAAGATGTCGAAAAGAAAAGTGCTTTTGATGGGTAAGAGTGGCTCGGGTAAGACATCGATGCGCTCGATAATATTCGCGAATTATATCGCTCGTGACACCAGTCGTTTGGGACCGACAATGGAAGTGGAACATGCACATGTCAGGTATGTTGAGGATGAATCGCAATCGAATCTCACACAATTTCACGATGATAGTTTCTCGGTCGGTGAGGTGGTATAAGTGATTGTGAAAGAATTACAAGGGAAATCGAAGTTGACTTAATTTTTGAGTTGTTTTCTGATATAGAGAATATATGGTTCATGAGAACTGATAATTCTAACAATATGAATAGTATTCTTTCTGTATAGAGTTAGTAGCTTTTTAAGATCTTATTATTTAATATTAGGTATAACTTATGAAGAAAATATCATTAGAGATGAATGTTTTGTGAGAGGAATATGGATGTTATGTTCATCGTTATAAGTGATTTTATTTTTAGCGATATGAATAATGATGGTGTAGGTGTTACGATTTTGTAGGTTTTTGGGAAATTTGGTGCTTCATCTGTGGGATTGTGGTGGACAGGAGGCGTTCATGGAGAATTATTTAGCATCACAAAAAGATCAAATCTTCAAAAATGTTCAGGTTTGTGTTGTGGGAAGGAATTTTTTACGTTTTTCCAAGTGTTTCCAATTTTCATGGGAATTGTTATTTTTCGAAAGATTGAATTTTTTTTCAAAAGCAGAAATATTTCCGAATTTTAGGTGCTAATCTACGTATTCGACGTGGAAAGTCGTGAGTTGGAAAAAGACTATCGCTACTATCAGTCTTGTTTGGAAGCGTTACTTCACAATTCACCAAATGCGAAAGTTTTTTGCCTCATTCATAAAATGGATCTTGTCTCGGAGGAACATCGAGATCAAGTGAGTAGTGCCAGCAGTAAATTTCTATCTTTAATTCTCCTTTTTTTCTCAGTATATTTTCGTCATTGGATTTTTCATTTTCCATTTTGGAAGTTCTTTCGCCGATTTTTTCAAGTTGGGGAGAGGGGAGGGGGGAGGGCAGAGGTAAAGGTGAGAGGAGTCAATAAAGCAGAGTAAAGCTCATTGTCTGTGGAAGCAGCAAATGCTTAACGCCCATTTTCGAAATCGCCCAGTTTCAAGCTAATATAACATGACTGTACGCGTCTTCATTGCGATACTTATCAGTTTCGAAATAGTACATATTTTTGCGTTGGAAATAGTACATATTACATAACGATGTCTTGTTGTAAGAAGGTTGTGGAAAGGGTGTGATGCTCTTTTCGATATTATTATACGTTGGTCATAATCGGAATGATTGTTGTTTTTTAAGTAATATTAACGAATAGCAGTAATGAACAATTGAGTAATTTTATATTTTGGGTTGGTAAAATCAAAATGGCATTTCGTTCACATTCGTAGTTGAATATGTTACTTACGATTAGTTAGAGCACAGCAAGAAATGTTTGCACGAACGAAATGCCGTCTTGATTTTACCAACCTGAAATACAATATCACCAATAATTGTAATTGTAATGATGAGAAAAGTATTCGTTAAGGTATTCGAAGAGAAAGAACGTGACATATTAGCGCGTTCACAAATTGAAGCCGATAAATTCAATCGAACAAACGCTGTATGCCAATGCTTCCGTTCGTCAATTTGGGATGAAACGTTATACAAGGTAATATGAATTTATTTTTGGTGG